CTCCCTTCACATGTGGACTGACATCTTCCCCCCACCCCATGTGCCTGCCCCACCCCCAGTTGACATCAAGCCTTGGCAGCCAATCAGGTGAGAGTTCTGGCCCTTCTCCCAAGGGGCACATCTTGGTGTACCTGTACAAGGGTCCCCTGAAAACCTGAGTCCCTGATGAAGCAGACAGGAGCTGCTGACAACAGGCTTTGCAGTTAGGCGATTAAATTCCCTTTTCTTCAATACCTATTGTGAGTTGGGTGTCTGTCCCTCCTAAATGGAAACTCCAAATGCCTTTCAGTAAACTCCCTTTCAACCTGAGCTGGTCTGAGTGGAATTCTGTGTAGGGCGTAACCACTTCAGACAGGCCTGGATCCAGGTGCTCAGATGTCACAGCAGTCTGTCACTTTCTGCCTCTGGGCTCTGCTTTCCTTGGTGTCACTCTCAGGGAGTCTCTCACAGTCTAGGGGCAAGGTGGCATCTAACAGTTCCAGGCTGGTCTTAGCTAGGCCACTTAAGCAGAAATAAACACTTCTTTCCCAGTTATAGCAAAAGCCTTAGGCCCGACTTATCAGACCAGCTTGGGTCAGATGCTGTTCCCTGAACCAATCGTTGTAGGGACTGCAGCAAGCTGACCAGTCCATCCCAGGTGATGTCCCCAACCTTGGAGCCAGGTGGGGAGGGGCCTGCTCCACCAGAATTACACAGGTTGACAGTGGTGGTGCAGGGTGGGGGTAGGGGTGTCACCAGCAGAACAATCAGTGTGCTATCAACAAATGAGGGAAAACTGATTCTGGGCAAGAGAAAATGACAACTCTCCATGACAGCCAAGGATAGGGCCCTGTGAGGGTAGGGTCCCGCATCCTCACTGCCTCTTGCCGCCCACTTCTCTCTGCAGACTGGCCATCTCTGTTCATTCACGATTTCTCTGTACCCTACAACTTCAGCTTGCAGTGGCTCCAACTGCATCTGATGCCACGTCACTCAACATTTCAGGGTCCCGATTCAGACTCATGGGAGGGAGAGCCTCACTGGCCCAGCTTGGGTCTGCTGACCACTACTGGTGCCATCCGCCACGGCTGGGTGATCAGTGATACCTCTTCGGGGTGTCCCTTCATGAGACCACAGGTATCCTCATTACCTAGCTTGGCACACAATAGGTGCTCAGTGGACATCAGTGGCCTTGGCCCAGGGTCTTCTTGCGTCCTAGTTATTCCCAGTGGCCCTCTCAAGAGTCTGAAAACTTGCCAGGTGCAGTAGCCCACGCCTGTAATCCTAGTACTTTGGAAGCCAGAGGCGAGAGGCTTGCCCAAGCCCAGGGGTTAGAGACCAGCCTGGGCAACTTGGTGAAACCTTGTCTCTACAATAAATAAAAAAATTGGCCAGCCGTGGTGGCACACACCTGTATTTCCAGCTACCTGGAAGGCTGAGGTGGAAGGACTGCCTGAGGTTGAGACTGTGGTGGCTGTGAGCGTGCCACTGCACTCCAGCCTGGGTGACAGAGTAAGACTCTGACTCAGAGTCTGAAAACTATTTCCCAATGCATCCCCCAGCTATGAGCTCAGAGTTGTCATCTGGAACACGGAAGAAGTGGTCCTGGACGACGTGAATCCACTTACTGGAGAGATGTCGAGTGACATCTATGTGAAGAGGTAAGTAAGGCTGCAGGCTGGGCCTGGCTGATGGCTGTGTACCAAGGAGGACCTGCAAGCAGGGGCGTGGTCTGGGGGGAGCTGGCAGAGTCAAGGCGAGTTGGCTGAGGAGCAGGGGATGGGGACGGCCCCCATACTGGTGCCCACCGTCTGGTCTGTCTCTTCCCCTGGCCCCAGCTGGGTGAAAGGGCTGGAGCATGACAAGCAGTAGACAGATGTTCACTTCAACTCCCTGACTGGGGAGGGAAACTTCAACTAACGCTTTGTGTTTCGTTTGACTACCTGCCGGAGCAGGAGGTAAGCGTCTGGTGCTGGCCTGGACCCTTAGACCTGGAGGAGGCTGAGTCACGGCAGCCCTCTGTGCTGGTCCTGCGGGTTTGGGACCATGACCGCATCTCTGCCAATGCCTTCCTCGGTATAGCTTCTCCTTCCCCGGCCTGCATTCTACTCGCTCACTGCCCTCACTGCCTTGCCCCTGGCCCTTGGTTCCCTACTCTAAGGTGACCCTGAACCCCAGGATTTCAGGCCCTAGGTCTAAACTTTTGCTTTCTGGCCCAGTTGTTGAGCTAATTAGGCCCAGACCACAGTAACCTCCATTTACACCCCAAATCCCTGGTCAATCCTGATTTGACTGTAGCTCAAGTCACCCTGGGCACTTGACGCCACAGCATTTGATCCTCCCTTTGGTCATCTAATCCAGGTCCTTGGCCCTCTTCCACTGGGATTTGACAAGCTGCGGGCTGTGGCCCGACCACCACATTCTAACTTTTGATACCCCAGCTTACAACCCTGGTGTGCTGCCCCCTCACCCCGGCCCGATTAGACACTGATCCATGCCTAACCTGGTGAGCTCTGGACTTGCAGGATCCCTGGAGTTGCAGCTACTGCAAATGGTGCACGGGGCCTGGGGCCCTGAGCTCTGCTCCGTGCGACTGGCCCGCCATGGGGCCCGGCCGAGGTGCAGTCTGTTTTGCTGCCGCCGTCTGCGGGGCTGGTGGCCAGTAGTGAAGCTGCAGGAAGCAGAGCACATGGAGCAGGAGGCCCGGGAGGCTCAGGCTGGCAAGAGGCGGAAGCAGAAGAGGAAGAAGGGTTGACCAGAAGACCTAGAGTTCACACACATGGGTGGCAATGTGTACATCCTCATGTTGGATGCTGCCAGGACAAGAGCCAGGTTGGGTTGGGCCGGGTCTGAGCCTCCCTCTGCTCTCAGTGATGCCGGAGCATCTTTTTCTAGGGGAAGGTGGAGGCAGAGTTTGAGCTGCTGACTGTGGAGGAGGCTGAGAAACAGTCAGTGGGGAAGGGGTGGAAGGAGCCTGAGCCTCCGGCGAAGCCCGAGTGAGTCAGGGGCATGGGGCTGTGGCCAGAACTGCAGAGGGAGGTGAGGGTAGCCAGCAGGGCCCCTCACCATCCTGACACCGGCCTTGCCCAGCAGCTGCCCCAAAACCTCCTTCAGCCGGCTCGCGAACCCACTGAAGACCGTTCTCTTCTTCTTTTGGCACCGGAACTAGCACATCCTGGTGCTGCTGCTGCTTCTGACGCTGGTCCCTGTCTTCCTCCTCCTGGTCTTCTACACCATCCCTGGCCAGATCAGCCAGGTCATCTTCCGTCCCCTCCACAGGTGACTTCAACTGACCCGAGGCACTCACCCCGTGGTGCCAACCCTTAACTCCTGCTCCTGGAAGTCACTCCTACCAATATGAGCGATCCCAGAGTTCAGTGCTTTCTTTGAGTAAACCTTATCACACAGCCACTGACATCTAATTACGTGCTGTACAAGGCGGCTCCTCCAGGTGGCAGGGGACAGGGATGTTCTTGGGGGATGTCAGATACTGGGGCCTTACTGGAAGAATGAACAGGGAGGGAAGGCTGGTTGCACACCCCGCTGCAGGGAAGAATGGGACCTGGCAGCTGAGCTACCAACCCTCCGAGCAGCCCACCTGTGTTCTTGCTCTCTCTCCTGCCAGGGGCTGAGTCCCTCCCATGGCTTCTGCCACTCCATGACAGCTAAGAACTTGACATACTTCATTAACTTGTTTATTCCTCACCAACCTGAGAGGCATACCTGATAGAGCACTTTTGGTTGCAAATGATAGAAACCTCAACCCAAACTGCCTTAAGAAAAAAGGGTATTGATGGGTTTGCATACCTGTCATTCCGAGTCTGGCTGGCTAGCTCAGTGTGGCCTCTGGCAGAGTTCAATGTCACCAAAACCAGCTGCCTCTGCCTCTGTGCTCAGCGCTGCTGTCCTCTGGGGACAGGTCATTCACAGGCCCTCCCCTCAGGACTTCACATCTCCCCACACTCACAGCCAGGAGAGAAAGCTTCCCTATGAACAGAGCCCAGCTTGCATGTGTTGCTGTGGCCCAGAGGATGGGATGTGCTGACTGTGGTCCTCCCCTCAAACCACAGAAGCTGAGAGGGTGCCCACGGTATTCCCAGGGGAAGCTCAGTGCACTGTGAACAAGAGGGAGTGGTCCTTGAGTGACCAGAAGAACCAGGCTCACTACAGCTGGCACTATCACCCCCAATTTAGAGATGCAGTTGGTGCCCACAGAGGGGATCACACATATCCAAGTCACAGAGCTTAGGTGATCACATCAGGGCTGGATTACAGGCCTGGCTACAGAGGTTTTGCTATCATTGCCAACTTTGCTTTCTGTCCCCTTTCCGCTTTCCCCCTGCCAGTCTTACATCAAAACTCCCTATAAATGATCTGATAAACTGACCAACTGTTACCACCCCTGGCTCCCTGGGCCAGGCAGTGGTGAGGTCCCTGGGCCTTGGTTCTCACAGGTAGAAAGTGCTCTCATGGGAAGCCCTGACTAGATCCTGAGCCAGGGCTCTTGTGCCATCCCTGCTGCAGAATGGCCACTGCTCCCTTGCTGCCCAGTTTTTCAGTTCTGCTTCCATCGAGGAGACTGCGAAGAACCTGGAGGGGCTCTTCTCTGTAGCAAGAGCCAGCATGGGGCCTGGCACACGTGGTCAGTGAGAGGGTCAGGTGACCGAGTCCAGGGTGGTGAGGAGCAGCCCCCTGGCTTTACTGTCACTAAAGAGGTGGCAAGCCCCAACTTCCACTCAGGACGTAGGGACCATGGTGGCTCCAGGAAGTTCACTCTGGAAAGGTCTGCTTGAATCCTGAGGCTGAACTCAGAAAGCCTGACGATCACAGTGGAAGAGGGACCGAGGACAGGGCTGTGGGGGGGACATAAGTCTGGTTTAAATAAAGCCCTGTTAACCAGGGGAATAATCCCCATGGGGCTCTCAGAAGGCATCTGGGTCCCGATCTGTCAGTATGAGTGGCTGTGATGAGGGGTTGTTCCCAGGCACCAGCCAGCCAAGAATCACACAGAGACCAGCAAGTACTATCACAATCAATAGATTTATCAACCTGGAGCTAGGAGTAGGGGTAGAAGAGGCTGGGGATAGAACCACAGGCCAAACAAACAGGAGGCAGAGGGAAAAGCCAAGGGGGAAGAGGATGACTACGTTGTTTTCCCCAGATCAATTTTCTTCTGGATGGCTCGCGCTGAATGGTAGATGAGTGAGTCGATGAGTCCAGCCACTGGGAGAGACACAAGGGCTAGCATGGCCCAGTGGGGCCCTTGTCACCTAACCAGCCAGGCCAGCATCTCCACTGGGCCCCTGAGGTGCCCTTTCTCCCCTAGCCAGAGCCTGGTGTGCCCAGGCTTTACTCTCTCCACCACATCTCCACCCCGTCACTCGGCTTCTTACCTGTGAACATGCCCCCAATGATGGCACACACTCCTGTCAGGAAGTGGGTGAAGGACCTAGCAGAGAGCGGGTGGGCTCAGCAGGTGCCCCCTCCCCGAACTGGGCACTAGCTACTCTGTTCCCCCATTACCTGTGCTTCTCTGTTAGCTTCACCATCATGGGTGAGAGCTCGTAGAGGACGAAGACTCCGGGAAGTCCCTGGTCACCCAGCAGCCCATTAGCGACCTTCTCATGTCTGGTCACAGAGAACTGATTTGTTCTCAGCACCTGGGGTGGGAAGGGAGCCTGAACCAGGGCCAAGTCTGCAACCTGGCTCCTGGCCCCCACGAAGCTTAGTCTTGCTCCTGCCCCTTGTCCTGTTGTGCCTTGACTGTGTGGAGGGAGAGAAAAAGGCACCATGTCAGAAACAGACACTGCAAGGCCTGGGGACCACCAGACTTCCCCTTGGTCCCAGCTCTTTCCAGTTTACCCACCCCAGCCACGTGTGGTGGGTGCTCTCACTGGGGATCCAGTGCTACACGAGGCTGGATGGACTTCCTCCGCACTCAGCCCTCATGGTCCACCACCCCACTGAGGTGCTACTTCACAGACCACAGCAGCCATGGCAGCAGGGGCCCAGGAAGGCTGGGGCTGGCTAACCCCAGCCCAGGGCAGACCACGGGGGATAGTGAGGCAGGCAGGCAGTGGGACCCAGAGGAATGGAGGCAGTCTAGACAATAAAAAGGGCAAGCATTTTGAAATCCAACAGCGTGGGACCTGCACTCTGCCTGTGAGGGCAAATTACCTGCCTTCTCTGAGTCTCCGTTTTTCATCCATCATGAGGGGATAAGAGCAGCACTTCACTGCCCAGGTTGAAGAAACTAAAGAAAGGAACTCAAGTGCTTGGCACCAAGCAGGGGGCCCCGGTACTGAGCTCCCTCAAACTCACCTCTCCATCCACCTTCATGTACACAGTGGGCACCACCTTCACAAAGTACTGGAACATCATGGAGGCTGAGGGGAGAAGAAGCACTGGGCATGGGTGCTACGTTGGCCTTTGGTGGCAGGAGCTGTCTCTGGGGATGGTACCTTGGGGTGCAGTGACGTTGGTGTGGTCCAGTGGGTTCACAATGCCTGGGTAGTCCTCCCCAAATGACAGGTGCTGGATGTAGTGGGTCATGTTGATCTGCAAGCAACACCAGCACCTGAAGCCCCAACAGTCCCCAGCCCATACAAAGCTTTGTACCGCAGCAGCAGACTGGGTCTGTCTGTGGAGATTTGGGGGAAAGGGAGGAGTGGCCCTACGGGGAGAGGCTGCCCTTGACAGGTGTCCCCCATTCTCCTCTCAGGAATGCCTTCTCCACACAGTCTGCAGGCTCCTGGGCCTCTAGGGTTTTTAGAGTACAGGCTTCATTCATCAGACTGGCACACACAAGCCAGGCACTGACTCTGAGTGGTAGTGGCCGCTTATCCTGGAGGTCTCAAGACACAGAGGCCTAGGCTGGAAAGCCCTGGACCTCCCCACCCGGCTATACTCCCTGCCCCAATGTAGATTCACTAGAGGGGTTGTTTAATAAACACAAATCTGATGATGTCATAACCCTGCTTTAAAATACCAATAGCTTCCCACTGTTCTGAGAATGACCAGACTCCTCAGCTCAAGTCCTGTGTGGTCTGGTCCCTGCTGATTTCTTTGGCCTCATCCATCCTCACCTGCTCTCGTGGTTCCTTAGAAGTGCCATACTCCCTCCAGACCTTGTCCTGTCTAGGATGCTCTTGTCCAGACCCATCCCTGCTCCTAGTCTGCCCAAATCTCAGCTCAAGAGGCATTCTCACTTGTTTGGCCCTCTGGCTGGACCGCCTGTCAGAACATGGCCTATTTTTCTTATGTTTCCCCCCTCAGCCTCGGATGGTCCTCCAGAAAAGTGAGGGTGGCAACCAAGTCTCCTGCCCCACCTGCCCTCCAGTTTTCACCTGGTACGTACGTTGTCAAGGCCGAAGCTCTGCAAGTCATGGACTAGGAGAGAAGGGAGAAGGTGTCATCAGGGGGAGCAGAGTCCTTGCACAGACTCCTCACTCCTAGGGCATGAAACGCTTCACTCCCTCTCCAGCCCAGAACCTCCTGGTCCTGCTTAAGGACAGCTAGAAAGGCCTGCCTTGGTCTGTGAGAGTCTATGCCCTCCTCAGGGTCGTAAGTTCTTCCCTGACATACACAGGGAACTCCAGGACTTCACTCCCACCACAGCCCTGCCTGCAGCTCAGGAAACAGAACCACTGACTAGGGTCTCTTATCAGCTAGAGATGGCAAAACTCTGAAGCACAAAGTGAGGTGAGACTAAGAATGTTATCTATACCCTTCCCTGGCTCCCTGCCCACCCTCCAAGCTCTCCAGAGGAAATCCCATGGGCACCCTGTACCTATTGTTCCAGGACAAGTTCTTCTTGCCCTGTAACCCTAATTCCTCCTGCTGCAAGGAACCATGCCTCAAAGATATGTCCCAGTGCTTTTTATAGTCACCTAGCAGCCAGGCCAGAGAAGGGCCCAATCCCAGACCCAGCCAACCTCCCCCCATACTGGAAGGGCAGGCTGCCCCAGAAGTGGGGGCTTGGCCTCCCTGAGGGGCAGGGCCACTTACTCTCCACAGCATGTACTGCAGCATGGGGGACAGAAGGAGAGAGAAGGGGGGAAGAACAAAGATTCAGAGCTTCACAATGAGAACTACAGATCAAGACTTGTGGTAGGAGGGAGGAATGGAACACTCCTGCCCCGGCAACAGGTTTGGTCCCAGCTAACAAGCCTCCTCCTGGTCACCTCCTCAAGAGAGCTCTTCCCTGGCCAGAGAAGAGCACAAGAGGGCTTGGAGGCAGAAGAATGGTAGCCTAGAAAGAACAAAGGACCTAGAGTCTAAAGAGTCACTTTTCTGGCTGTGTGACCATGGGCAAATCACTTGCCCTTTCTGAGCCTCAGCAGTCTCTGCAAAGGGCTGTCCTGAGGACCAAATAGGATCTAAGATGGGAAATACTTGGTAAACTTTTTATACACCCCAGCTCCCAAATCAATAAGGATGTCAGAAACCAGCTCCCAGGCCTCAATTCAGCCAGATCTCTGGCGCTGGGCAACTTCAGCTGTGTTTGAACATCCTTCCAAGAGCAGAGCACCCTGGTCCCAGGATCCACAACTCTAACAGCCCCAGACAGAGAAGCAGAGAGGTTGCTGCCGCCACCCCCACTGCTCCCTCCTCTGGAGTGTTTCAAGGCTTCTGCCAGAGCCGTGACACTGGTCAGTTTCCTATGATCCCAGCAAGACTACCCTTTCCCCAGCCTCCTTCAGAGTAATGAGGGGACTCTGGAGTGCTGCAGAGTCCTCCACCCCACCCAACTGCCCCTCCCTAACAGTCTCACCACCCCCAACCCAGACTAGACTGCCTCTGTAAGACCAACAGGACTTTCTCCACAGGTCCCTTTACTCCTGCTTACCTCAGTCACTCTGAGCAGCTCAGGAGTGCCAGCCATCTTCATCCCTGGGCTCTGCACGTGGCTCTGTGCATCCCCTTCCACTGGGCCCTCTTGCTCAGTCATCAAAGAACCATTGAAGAACCTCAGTCTTCAACCCTGGCAACCTTGCCCCCCACCTTCAGCCACAGCCACCTTTCCTTTGAGGCACTGTCGCCCCTGCATCCTCCAGAGAGTGACTACCTGCTCTCCACACATGACCCTCCCTGGCCTGAAGAGAGGTCCTTCTTGCTCCTTACTGCCACTTCCAGGTCATTGTCCCTTTATCTGTCCTAAAAATTCGCAGCTGTGAAGCTCATGGCAAACCACACCAACTTCTTCCAGTCACCCAGAGATCCACCCGGCACCCCAGGATATGTCTCCCATGCCATTTCTCGACAGTCCAGCAGTGGCCAGCCTTCCTCTCCTCTACTCCCCCTATTGGTTCCTGGTGGTTCGCATCCTCATAGAGGATTCTCCCGTCCCCTCGCCTCCCCTTTCCTGGATGACCCCTCCTTCTGATCTGGTGCTTTACCACTCAAGCCACTTACTCTGCTGGTCAGACAAGAACTGTGTCCCTACATAATTTCGATTTCAGACAGTCCTTGCTCCAACCACCAGCTTTCTAACTTGGTCCAGCTCGTTTCTTCCAGTTCCCCAAATTCAGTAATTCTTCAACACTGCAACCAGCAGCTGCAGCCCACTGCTCCTCCCGCCTCCGTTCACTGGCGTCCGCCCTCGTCCCTCTGTCCCTTCTTTCCTCCATCGCCAGCCTTTATTCTGCGGGCCAGTTCCAGGACCACTTCTTTACGTATCCCTTTGACTCTCTCACCTTGCCACCAAACTTGGCAACCCACCAAACCCTAGGTGATTCCAATGCTCTGGCTACTCTAATTCCACCCCCTTACAGCTGGAAAAACGAGACAACCACACTGACGGGTCTCACTTTCCAGTCAACTCCACGAGGCCCTAGTACCACCTGGCGGTCCTGTTCTCCTTCCCCAGCCCATGCAGTCTCCCACCCCAAAATGACCAGTCACACCTTTTTCTTCCTCTCAAACCTCCAACACCTTCTCCCCTCTCTCTCATTCTTAGCCGATGATCTTGCTTCCTACATCACGGAGAAAAGGCTCAGGAGAGAACGCCCATGTGCTTCCACCATCCCAGTATCTAGAAAGCCTGCCTTTCTTCCTATTGCTAGATGTGGCCATTCCACACGTGGAAGGCACCAGATTCCACCTTCTTTCTCCTTCCCAAAGACTTTACCCCACTGATAGTTCCTTTTGTTTCTGGAGCAGCATCTCTGCTCTCTCAGTTGTTAATTTCCGACAGGATATTCACATCCTGCCAAGTCACCCACCTTAGAAAGGCCTTGGGTAACTCTCCATCTCCTGCCAGTAACAGTCCATGTTCTCTCCTCCCCTTAGAGCAGACTCCACAATAGAGTTGTCTATACTCATTCATTCCAACTCCTCTCCCATTCCCTCCTGAGCCCATTCGATGGTGGTCCCTAACGCATCCCTCAAACAGCTCTGTAAAGACCACACACGACTGCTTCAGTATACATCCAATGGTGAATTCCTGTTCAACCTGCAGAAGCATCTGGTATACAGTTTGAAACACTCATCCTTTGGCTTGCAAGAAGCCACTCTCCTTGTTTGTGCTCCTACCTCACCAGTGTTTCCTACCAGTCTCTTCTGCCAGTTCCTCCCAATACACTCAGCCTCTAGTGTAAGAGAACTGGCATCCAGCCCTTTGAGCTTCTTCTCTATCTACTCTCACCTCTAGGGTGATTTCATTCCATCCCATGGTTCCATATACATGCTGATGATGTCACCGTTTATATCTCCAGGCAAGTCCACTCCTTAAACGGCTTGAATAGGCAATTGCTTACTTGACATCTTGGGTGTCTAAAAGGGCACCCACATCCTACTGTCCTGAACATATCAGAAGTTGAATACCTGCTTTTCACCTCCACCTCTAAACATCTAGACCTGTCTTCCCGCATCTTCCTCGTCTCACTAAATGGCAACTCCATCCTTTTTTTTTTTTTTTTTTGAGTCAGAATCTCACTCTGTTGCCCAGGCTGAAGTGCAATGGCACACTCAGGGCCACTGCAACCTTGACCTACTGCACTCAGATAATCCTTCCAAGCAGCTGGCACTACAGGCATGTGTCAACACACCCAGCTAATTTGTTTTTAAAAATTATTTTTTATAGAGATGAGGTCTCACCAAGTTGCCAGGCTGGTCTTGAACCCCTGGGCTCAGGCAATCCTCTCACCTCTGCCTCCCAAAGTGTTGGAATTACATGCATGAGCCACCACTGCCAGCCTAACTCTATCCTTCTTACTACTCAGGCACACAACTTTGAAGGCATCTTTGACTCTTCTTTCCTTTTTTCCTCACATCGGTCAGCAACTTCTCTCAACTCTACTTTCAAATACATCCAGAAGCCAATTACCTTTTTTTTTCTTTTTTGAGTTGGCGTCTCACTCTCTCACCTGGCTGGAGTGCAATGGCATGCTCACGGCCACTGCAGCCTCGACCTGCTGGGCTCAGGTGCTCCTTCCACCTCAGACTTCCAAGTAGCTGGAACTACAGACATGCACCACCACACCCAGCTAATTTTTTTTGGTTTATTGTAGAGACGAGGTCTTGCCAAGTTACCCAGGCTGGTCTCCAATCCCCGGGCTCAGCCAATCCTCTTGCCTCCGCGATTACAGGCATGGGATTACAAGCATGAGCCACCACACCCGGCTCCAATCACCTTTCACCATGACTACAGCCACTTTGGCCCAAGCCCTACCATTTTTAGCCTGGATCATCACTGCAACAGCCTCCAAACAGCCTCCAAACTGGACTGACTCTGTCCTTCCCCTCCTACAGTCTTGTCCACAGAGCAGTTGGCGCTACCTTTTAAGTCAGATCACACACCACTTCGTCAAAGTTCCACAATGGATTCCCATCTCACACAGAGTAGAGGCCTACGTCCCCACAATGCCCTCGCAGGCCCTACAGGACATGGTTCTGTTACTTCTCTCACCTCATTTCTAACCGTGCTTCTCTGCTTACTCTGCTCCAGCCACTCTAACTTCCTTACTGTACCTTGAAGTTGCCAAACACATTCTTGCATGAGGAATTTGCACTTATTATTCTCAATGCTTGCAACACTTGCCCTAGACATCCACCTGGCTGCCTCCCTCACTTTCTTCATGTCTTTGCTCAAATACCACCCATCAGAGAGTCTTTCTCTCACCTCTCTATTAAAAATGGGATACATGTACTGTTCTACCCTCATCCCTCACATCCATCATCTTTATCCTACCTTCTTTTGGTCCATATGACTTAATAGTATCTGATACACCGTATACTTGATCTACGATGTTGTTATGTCCCAATAAACCCATAAGCCAAAAATATCATCTCATAAGTCAAAAATGGCATTTAATACCTCAATAAACCCATCATAAAGTAAAAAAAAATCCAAGTTTAACCATTGCAAATTAGGGACTGTTTGCATTTTACATATTTACTGTCTGTTTCTTTACTAGAATGTTATGCTCTGAGGGCAGAGACTCTTTTTTTTGAGTTGGAGTCTCAATCTGTTGCCCAGGCTAGAGGGCAGTGGCACACTCACGGTCACCGTAGCCTTGACCTGCTGGGCTCAGGTGATCCTTTGGCCTCGTCTTCCAAGTAGCTGGAACTACAGGCATGAGCTACCACGTCTGGATAATTTTTCTTGATTTACTGTAGAGATGAGGTCTCGCCAAGTTGCCCAGGCTGGTCTCGAAACCATGGGCTCAAGCAATCCTCTCACCTTGGTCTCCCAAAGTGCTGGGATTCTAGGTATGAGCGACCGTGCCCGGCTCGAGGGCAGAGACTTTGTTCATTATTGAATCCTTAACACCTAGACTAGTACCTGGCACATAGTAGGTGATTACTAAATATCTAGTGAATGCATGAATAAATGAATGAATGAGAATAGATCTCATTTATTCACCCAACAACACTGTGAGGTATTTTAAAAGAAGAAACCAAGTAGGGCTTACTACTTCCCAAATGACATAGCTGGAGAGTGGCAGAACTGTGTTCTAACCTAGTTCTGCTTCTCCCAAAGCCTCACACACAATACAGGGGGCTTTTAAGCAAGTGCCTACTACAAGCCAGGTTCCATGCTATAGTTTTTAACCTGCACAGACCTCACCCACCTCCAAAGATAAGTACAATAATACCATTTTATAAAGTAGGAAACTAAAGCTCAGAAAGTTTAAGAAACTTCTTCAAAGTCACACAGCCAGTAAGGTCTGAAACTGTATCTGAACCTAGGCAGTCTGGCTCTTCAGCCTATGTCCTTCACCACTGGCCAAACAGCTGCCTGGAGATGAAGGCCTGCTCTGGGCCAACACCAAAAGAGTAGCAAAGGGTGAGGCTCAGACTCATCGAGAAGGTGAGCAGTGCCTAAACATTCCCAGCTTGTGGAGGATCACTCACCGTGCACATGGGACTGCTGGAAGCTCTTCCCAGGGGCAAAGTGAAAGTTTCCGGCCACCTGTAGGGAACAGTCTCTCTCATTCTCCAGCTGCGTCCTCCCTTTACTTCCTGAGAGCTGCAGTGGGCCCTTGTTCACAGTGGAGCTTGCCCAGCCAGCCCTCTCCGTCTCGATCCCTCCTGATACCTTGTTGACTTCCAAGAAGCCATACACCTGGCAGCCTTCATTCTTCTGCTCTTGCATCTTCTGGCTGAAGCCCTCTCGCTGGCACTGCTCGATGGTATCTGGATTCTTGAAGGCCCAGCCTCGACGGCGATAGGCCTCTCGTACATCCTCACAGGTGTTACAGCACCTGTAGGAGAGGGGGTGACAGTGAGAGTGTCAAAGGCACAAGACCTTGAGAAAGAGAGCCTGAGGAGTTCTGCTGCCAACAGAGCCTCTGCTAGCCTCATCCCTGACCGCCAAATGTTCTCTAAGTGCTTCCTCAGTGGCAGCAGGACTGTTAAAAATACATTTTTCCATGCTGTTTGGGGTGATGAAAAGTTTTATAACACAGAGTGGTGATGACTACAAAACACTGTAAATGTACTTAATGCCACTGAGTTGCCACTTAAAAATGGTTAAAATGGTAAATGCTATGTATATTTTACAATAAAAAGTGATTAAAATGGTAAGTTTTATGTCACATACATTTTATCACGATAGAAACAAAAATTTTGCTGGACTCGGTGGCTCAGCCTGTAATCCCAGCGCTTTGGGAGGCTGAGGTGAGTGGATTGCCTGAGTTCGTGGGTTTGAGACCCGCCCGGGCAACTTGGTGAGACCTCATCTCTACAATAAATCAAAAACTAGCCGGGCATGGTAGCATGCGCCTGTAGTTCCGGCTACTTGGAAGGCTGAGGTGGAAGGATCGTCAGAGCCCATCAGGTCGAGGCTGCGGTGGCTGGGAGTGTGCCACTGCAGTCTGGGCAACAGAGTGAGACTCCAACTCAAAAAAAAAAGAAACAAAAATTTTAAGTACATATTCCCAGGCTCCACCCAAGACCTGCTAAATCAGCCTCTTGTGGGTCAGAACCTGGGAGAGACAACAGCATTTATTATATATATATATTTGTTGTTGTTGTTAGTTACCATAAATTGAGGGCTTAATAATCTGGGTTGGGTTTTCCACCTTAGTGATTTACATTTAATACTATGTGACTCTTGCAGGAAGGTGTTATTAGTATCCCTCCTCAAATAGAGAGGTTACGTGGCTTGCCCAAAGACACAGGGGTGGAACCCAGATAGCTAGACTCCCAGAGACCATCTCTGAACCATTTCTCTAGGCTGAAGAGCAAAGACCACTTCAGTCTTGTCCCCAGGCTTGCAGCTCCGAGGCAGGGCCTGGTCATAAAGCCTCAGTCACTTGTATCAGGATCAGTGACTAAGGCACACACCCCATGTCCTCTAGATTCTTGGTACAGCCTTCCCACCTGCTACAATCTGATCGAGGCTGAGGCTGGCAGACAGATAGTGCCTGATGGGAACCCTGTTCCCCCTACCCCCAGGGTTCAGCTCACTTGATGTCTTCTGACTCAGCACCATAGCAGCTCTCACAGCGATCAGGGGCCAGGGAATCAGGGTCAAACACCGTCACCTCGACTTTCCCAAGCTCTAAGGGGAGAACAAAGGCAGAGGCATTAGCTGGGGCAGACACAGTGAATCTGATGGCCCTAGCCCTTGCATGAGCCCTTTGACTAGTGGATTGGGAATAATAAAAGTTATAATAATAGCTAATATTTATTTAGTGCATACTATGGCTCAAGCACTAAGCACTTTTACACAAATGAGGGGGAACCAAAAAAAAAAAAAAAAGGAATTTGTTTAAAATTGTGTATCTGCTGGGCACTATGGCTCATGTCTGCAATCCCAGCACTTTGGGAAATGGAGGAAAGAAGATTGCCTGAGTCCAGGGGTTCGAGATCAGCCTGGACAACTTGGAGAGACCTTGTCTATACAATAAATCAAAAAATTAGCCAGGTGTGGTGGCATGCACCTGTAGTTCCAGCTACTTGGAAGGCTGAGGCGGAAGGATCATCTGAGCACAGCAGGTCGAGGCTGCAGTGACCATGAACATGCCCACTGCACTCCAGCCTGAATGACAGAGTGAGACTTCAAATCAAAAAGAAAAAATTGTGTATTTATTCTTACAAGTTTAAACTTCGGTCACCTTCAAAGTACTCTTCGTTTGATGTAATACACCTATTGAGACATTTTTTCCACTGTTCAAAGCAGTTTTTGAACTCATCAGTTTCGATGCCTTTTAGTGCTTATGCCGTTTTTTGTTTCACCTCTTCCACATCCACTAGATGTTTCCCTTTGAGGATTCTTTTCATTCAGGGAAACAAAAACAGTCGCTGGGAGGCAAGATCTGGTGAATAGGGAGGGTGGGGCACAGGGGCCATGTTGTTTTTGGTCAGCATGGTGTAGACAGGTGCACTCATAAATCACCAATCATGAAATGGGCAAACGTGTTGAAACAATCTCCAAAAAAAAATTCACTGAAGCCAAGCACAGCCTCTTACAACAATACTAGCTTACCTAGCAGACAAAGCGTATACTATAAGGGACTCACCCTCCAAAAAGTAATTTTAGTTTTTTGGGGGGTCCCTTTCATACATAAATTCTTTTTTTGAGTTGGAGTCTCATTTTGTTGCCCAGGCTGGAGTGCAGTGGCATGCTCACGGCCACTGCAGCCTCAACCTGCTGGGCTCAGGGGATCCTTCTGCCTCAGCCTTCCAACTAGCTGGAACTACAGGCACATACCACCATTCCCAGCTAATATTTTTGATTTATTATAGAGATGAGGTCTCACTAAGTTGCCCAGGCTGGTCTTGAACCTGTGAGCTCAGGCAATCCTCTCACCTCAGCCTCCCCAAGTGCTGGGATTAAAGGCATGAGCCACTGCACCCAGCTTATAAATTATTTTAATAAAAGTAGTATTAAGAAAAAAGTAGGGCAACCCCCTTGGGTCCCCCCTCACTGTGGGAGCTTTTCTGTCCTCTCAATAAATCCTGCTTTAAAAAAAAAAAGAAAAAAGAAAACAGTAGGGCGACCCCTTTGGTTCCCCTCCTACTGTGGGAGCCTCTCTGTCCTCTCAATAAATACTGCTTTCTCAAAAAAAAAAAAAAAAAAAAAGGAAGACAGAAAACAGTAACAATAAATACTAAACATTAGCTGGGTACACATAACCATATTGTATACATATTGTCTCGTTTCATTCCCACAATAACTCTGTGAAGGTGAAGGTTATTACCTCCACTTTATTGAGGTGCTAAGGCTCACAGATAAGCGACTTTGTCCAAAGCAACCTAGTAAGTGATAGATTTCAGCTCTGATTCCAAAGTCTATGCCCTTCACCTCTTTGTCATGGTGCTTCTCCTCAGACCTTTCCCTCTACACTGGCCCCCTGCCTCTGTCTAGTTACCCTGTCATAATTGGCAACTTCAATATTCAATACCTGTCCTCAAAAATCTTTTTATTTTGTCATCCCAACTCAGTCACTCATGTCCGTACCTAGGCCTGTTATTATCAATAACTGCAAACCTTCCAAAATTTAACTTCAAGTATCCAAGTCCTCAACTACTCACACTTATTTTTCCAGTTCACTGCCAATTCTTTGGCACTACTGGCACTGTCACCCCTTTGAGTCCTTACTTCTCTCCTTAAATTCCATGGTCCACTGTCATTATTTTCTTGCACATAACCACAACTCCCTGTTTTTCTCTCTCTTCATTGTACAAACCTAGCAAACCTCCCAAACTAATTACATTCAACTCTCTGTGACTACCTCTTGCCTGTACCTCCTTTAAAACTGCCTGGTAATTTTTCTAATCAGTTCACTCTCATTCTCTGAGATGATTAGTTTAGAATTTCTCTCTCCTTGGGCTTCTAAAATCCATTACTTTCTTTACTCTGAGATAGTGTCCATGCTTTCAATCTCCACTAAGAAAAGCAACAGAACTTCACTTGCTCGCACTACTAAACCCAGCACATCACCCACAGCCTCCTCCAGCCCCCACCTCATCTCTCTGTTCTCCCTTACAGCAAAACTCCTCAAAGGGTCATCTACACTTGATGTCTCTACTTTCTTTTCTGTTCTTTGATCACATTGTCATTCTTGACAGTATGGAAACTATTCCTTTCAAGGCCTCCAGTGATTTCCATGTTGCCAATTCCAAAGGTCAATGCTCACTCCTCATTTTCTAGACTGTCAATAGCTTCTAACACAGTGGTTGTTCTTAAAACCCTTTTTGGTTCTCTTCTACTTCAATGGCTAATCCCTCTCAACTTTCTACCATGGATCCTCATTTCTTGATTTCTGAATACTGTACTGGAGAGGCCAAGGGTATAGTCTCTAGACCTCTCCTCTACATTCACTAAATTAAGCTTCCGCATTTAGTACAATGACTTTAACTACCATTTACATGCTGACAATTCCTAAATTTATTTCTCCAGTCCTACTCCTTTAAATTCTAGACCAGTACATCTCATTGTTTCTTTAACATCACTAGAATGATGGGTGTGGTGGCTCATGCCTGCAATCCCAGCACTTTGGGAAGCCAAGGCAAGAGGATTGCCTGAGGCCAGGGTTTGGAGACCAGCCTGGACAACTTGGCGAGAACTCGTCTCTACAATAAATGAAAAAAAAAAAGATTTTAGCCACACATGGTGGCCAGCAGCTGTAGCTCCAGCTACTTGGAAGGCTGAGGTGGAAGGATCACCTGAGCCCAGCAGGTCGAGGCTGCAGTAGTGGGGAGCGTGCCACTGCACTCCAGCCTGGGCGAAAGAGTGAGATTCCAACTCAAAAACAAAACAAAACAAAAAATCACTAGAGTATAAAATAGGCATCTCAATTTCAAAATGCTCCAAAGCTGAAATTTCCCCCACCCCCAAATCCTGATATTATCCTGTAGGAGCCAGCCTCCAAGCCGTCTCCAATGATCCCTACCTCCTGGTATTCACATCCTGATGTAGTCCCCTCCCACAATAAATAGGGCTTACCTAGGTGACCACTAGTATATTGCAGAAATGATGGCATGCAACTTCTGAGGCCAGTTCACAAAAAAAGTTATGGTTTCTACCTTGCTCTCTCTTGGATCACTTGTAAGTTCCAAGTTGGGCTGGGCACAGTGGCTCATGCTTATAATCCCAGCACTTTGGGAGGCTGAGGTGAGAGAGTTTTCTGAACTCACAGGGTTGAGACCAGTCTGGGCAACTTGGCAAGACCGCATCTCTACAATAAACCAAAATATTAGCTAGGTGTGGTGGCGCATGCCTGTAGTTCCAGCTACTTGGAAGGCTGAGGTGGAAGGATGGCCTGAGCCCAGCAGGTTGAGGCTATAGTGGCTGGGAGCATGTCAAAAAAAAAAAAATCCAAATTGGGGAAGCCAGTTGCCATGTGTGAAGACAATCAAGCAGCACTACTGAGGCACATGTTGCAAGGCACTGACACATCCTGTCAACAGTCATATGAGTGAGGTGAGCCCATGTAGATGTAGATCCTCCAGCCTCAGTCAAGTCTTCAGATGGTTGCAACCTCATGAGATATCCTAAGCCAGAATCATCCAATCAAGCCACTTCTAAATTCCTGACCCAGGGAAACTGAAAAAACAAATGTTTATTGTATTAAGCTATTAGCTTTTGGGCCAGCTACTAACTTATAGGCTCATGCCTATAATTCTGGTACTTTGAGGGGTTGAGGTGGGAGGATTGCTTGAGCCCAGAAGTTCGATATCAGCCTGGGAAACACAGCAAGACTCCATCTCTACAAAAGAAAATTTTAAAATTAGGCATTATGGTGCACCCTGTATTCCCAGCTACTTGGGAGGCAGAGGCAGAGGCATAAGGATTACCTGAGCCCAGGAGGTGGAAGCTGTGGTGAGCTATGACTGTGCCAATGCATTCCAACCTGGCTGACAGAGTGAGACCCTGATTAAAAAAAAAAAAGTTTAAGCTTCTAACTTAGCGTGCCTATAGTTCCAGCTACTTGGAAGGCTGAGGCAGAAGGATCTCCTGAGCCCAACAGGTCAAGGCTGCAGCGGCCGTGAGCATGCCACTGCCCAGCCTGGGCATCAGAGTGAGACTCCAACTAAAAAAAAAAAAATTCTATTGGTTCCATTGGTGTTCAGTATATATCTGCTGAATGAATGAATGATAAAAGCTCACCACCAGAGCAATCCCTAAGTGAAAATCTCAGTTTTGAGACAGTTCTGTTATGGTAGGAAAGTGAGTTAATGGAAGCATTGAGAAGCCATCAAGAGAAAGGAAAGGAAGCTAAAAGTGAGTACCCACTCTGTACCAGACATTTTACACATATTATTTCATTTGATCCTACACTTCCACGTGGTGGATACTACTGTTCATTACCACTTGATTTACTTATTATTTTTGAAGAGATGTGGTCTCACTATGTTGCCCAGGCTGGCCTCAAACTCCTGAGCTCAAGCAATCCTCCTGCCTTGGCCTCCCAAAGTGCTGGGATTACAAGCATGAGACACCGTGGCCAGCCCCATCACTATTTTACAGCTGAGGCTCACAAACTGCAAGAGACAAAACTAGGTCTGAACTCAGAATTTCACATGAGAACCTAAACTCTTAACCTGCATTCCAAAGGAGAAGTGTATGAAGGGCAGAATTCAGCCAATAGGCTGGGGAAGCAAACACTAAGAGAAGCTTGGGTCCATCTAAAGGAAGGTAACAACACATAAGAACCTTCCTCAGACTTCTGTTACGCAAAGTATGATAGGTAGGGATTAAGAACCTCTGAGAACAACAGCCAGGTAGAGAACCCTATTCAATACACAGAGGTGAGGAAGCCTGGATTTCAGCCCACTCTATCTTTTACGAGCTACGGGGGCCTAGAGAAGTCACTTGACTTCTTTAGGTCTCAGTTGTTTAATATGTCACTGAGTCTGCCACAGCCCACTTGCCAGAAGGTAGGGCTTAGGGATGTCCAGATCTGGGATCCAAGACCCAGCACCCTCCCCTGGTTACCATGCCGCTCAGCCTCTGTGCTCACGGGGATGCCATCCTTGTCTAGTCGTTGTTTGAACAGGTTGTGTTCCACATCCAGCTGCTGTTCCCCAGCTACATCCATGGCATCAATGCTAAGATCTGGAAGCAGGAATGCTAGTCAGGCCAAAGTACAGGGACCATAAGGGCCAGGGGATCCAGGTTTTGGAGGGGAAGGAGATGCTGGGCCTGTCTTGGGGCAGAATGGAATTAAGGGAGTCTAAGGCCAGAGGTGTGCATCTGGAAGCCCTTACTTCCAGATTGGAACTTCCACCCATGGTGAGGTACTCACAGGCACAGGGCATGTGCGGGAAAAGTACATCGATGTTGATCTTCAGTTTATCTCCCCGTGACTTGTCCACGTAGAGTTCAGGATGCACCTGGGGCGGCGCCAGCTCAGTAAGACTTGGCCCAGTGCCTCGCTTGCCCCATTCCCACCCCTGCAGACCCTACCCCCAGAATGCCAAACTGGCCCACGCGCCAGGGCCCGCCCCTTACCTCCGTGGTGAGGTAATACTGCAACTCGGACAGGAACAGTAGCAGCATGAGAAGGCCACTGACAATGGTCACTGGCATAACGGGGAGCGAGGGTCGGAATGGCCTCTGTTCCGCCCCCTCAGGCCGGTCAGAGTCCAGCGACTCGGGCCAAACTCTAGGACGCCCTCCCTCCCCGCGACCCCAGCCCCGCCGCGGCCTACCGGTGGCGCCCCCACAGGTCTTGACCCGGAAGTCCTCCAGAGTCTTGGGATAGGCATCGAACTGCTTCAGCTTCCCCAGCGCCTCCATGGGGACCGGCCGGAAAGGGACCGCCAGCCAGCCCGCCCCTGCGGCCTCCCGCTTCCGGCCTAGAGCCACGCCCCTCCCTCTCCGCACGCAGGCGCAGCGAAGCAAAGGCCTGGCTCCACCCCTCCAACGCGTTCACCCACAGGCGGCCTCGCCCCTCGATTCTGCCACGCCCCCTCGCGTGGGCAGTTGGGTCTAGCCTGGACCACCTAGGCCTGCGCGGTCTGGGGCGGGCCCTGTGTGGACCCGAGCGAGACGGCGATAGCAACTTTCTCTTGCCTTGTGCTGGGAACACTGCCAAGTGTTTCAGGTTCTTGGAATATCCTAGAACAGTGACTTTCAGCGCGCCTTCGGACCAGCAGCAACATCAACTGAGAACTGGTTAGAAATGCAAATAATTGGCTTCCGTCTACTGACTCACAAACGCTGGGAGTGGTACCCAGATGACTCTGATGTAGTTAAGGTGTGAGACTCTCCGCCCTTGAATGCAGCTGTGACTTTTATTTTTATTTTATTGTTTTGAGTTGAGGTCTCACTCTGTCCCCCAGACTGAAGTGCAGTGGCACGCTCATGACCACCACAGCCTTGACCTGCTGGGCTCAGGCGATCACTTCAGCCTTCCAAGTAGCTGGAACTACAGACGCGCGCTACCACGCCCGGCTTATTTTTTTATTTATTGTAGAGACGAGGTCTCACCGTTTCCCAGCCTGGTCTCGAACCCTTGGATTCAGGCAATCCTCTCGCCTTGGCCTCCCAAAGTGCTGGGATTACAGGCTTGAGCCACTGTGCCCGGCCCTTGAAAGCAGCTATGACTCTCATCTCCGTTTTCCAAAGAGCAAACTGTGGCGTGGAGAAGTTAAGTGACTTGTCCAAGACCACGGCCAACTGCTAGCAGAACCTGATTCTAACCAAGTTCTTCTGGACCTCAAAATACTGTAGCAATCAGGGTTGATGACATTTAAAGTGGCCTGGTGCTTCTCCTGAGCACTGCTTTCTGTATTATCCTAAGTTATTTTCCAGGCCCTGGGCTCCTCACTGACAAACTCAGCCCTCCAAGCTTAGACTCAAGTAGTGTGGAGCTTAAGCTCTCTCCTGACACTTTCCATTGCAGCCCACTGTCTCTTGAGGGAGCGCTCAAACAGTCATCCAGCTGTAATGACTAAAATATAAAAAGGCTTTGATTCAGGAATTACCAATTTAGGAAATAAAAGCACCATGTTGCTGGGTGGTTGTTACACCCCACAAAATCGAATCTGTCCCTTCCACTTAAAGGTTTATTTATTTTTTTAAAGTATAATAGGGCCACGCATGGTAGCTCATGACTGTAATCCCAGCACTTAGGAAGGCTGAGGCAAGAGGATTGCTTGAGCCTAGAAGTTCAAGACCAATCCCAGCACTTTCGGAGGCTGAGGTGAGAGGATTGCCTGAGCCCACTGGTTGGAGACCATACTGGGCAACTTGGCGAGATCGCATCTCTACAATAAATAAAAAAATTAGCTGGGTATGGTAGCACATGCCTATAGTTCTGGCTACTTGGAAGGCTGAGGTGGAAGGATCGCCTGAGCCCAGCAGGTTGACAGTGGGGTGACTGTGAGCGTGCCACTGCACTACAGCCTGGGCAACGGAGTGAGACTCCAACTCAAAAAAAATAAGTTCAATACCAATCTGGGCAACATAACAAGACCTCATCTCTACAAAAAAAACAAAAAATTAGCCAAGTGTGGTGGTGCACACCTGTAATCCTGGCCACTAAGGAGGCTGAGGCAGAAGGATCACCAGACCCCTGGTGGTCGAGACTGCAGTGAGCTGTGATCATGCCACTATACTCCAGCCTGGGTTACAGTGAGATTCCAACTCCAAAAAAAAAGTAGCAGACCATATATACATGAAATTGTTCAATGGCAACTGGAACCAACCTAAATGCCCATTAATATGTTGGATAAATGCTTTACTAAATCATGGTACATCCATTCTATGGAATATTATGCAGCTTTTCAAAAGAATGAGATAGATTTACTCCCTCAGGGATATTAAGAATATGAGGTCTTGTTATGGTCCAAGCAATGCTCAGCTGCTCTCCCTTGATACCAATAAATCAAAGGGGCAGGGAACTAGTAGAAAGAAGTTAATTTCTGAATTCAAATCCAGGGAACAGAGTGGGCTTTTGGTCTCCTTTAAATGGTTCTGCTCACCCTGCAGGCTTTTACAGTTCACTTTTATAAGTCCAGAGTTGTTAGTACCTATACATTAGCCATGTAACCTGCATTGTATAGAACTTGAGTTTCAGCTGCTTTTATCAATAGTGACACAGACTTCCTGGTACTAGATATTGGAGGTATCTTAGAGCTTTTATCAGTAGGGGCTGGCAAAAGCATTAATCAAGCTTGCTATAGCGTAAAGGGAGTTTACAAGGCCTAAGACATCATGCAATACACAAAAGTTACACTGATACAAAAGTTATACAAATCACAAGACTTACTATTACATTGATACTATATTATTCAAACCTATGACTACTAAATGGGGATTTGCATTTTTCGGTTGATTAGGCTTAGTCTACAAGGAAGTCAAGGCTCCCCTGAAGCTACTTACTGGGAATACATAGGAGATAAGGAGACTCTCAGGAATGTGCTCAGGAATAGATCTCTCAGTTTATTGGACACAGTCTTCAGGGAAGTTGAGGATCCTTTGAAGTTTCTTACTGGGAGTGCATAGGAGATAAGGGGAAGTGCACCTTTTATTAGCTCTCAGGAATATTGTTCAGGAATGTACAGGAGCGCTTGACCCCTTGCCATGCCCTTCGCTAGGTGCTGTGGCAGTATGGACAGACATTAGTGGGTTGCTGTATCAGTCTGACAATTAAGTTCACAAACTCATCCTAGAAAAGTTGCTACCTACCTCATTGCTGAATATCACTATCGTCACCTTCAAAGTACTCCTCTTGGGAAGATATGCACCAGCGCCAGTGCCTAGTCCACCTATCAAAGCAATTTTGAAACTCTCTGGAATGGCCATCAGAGCTGTGGTTGTGTTACCCTTGATGTCCTGAATGTCATCAAAATGTCTTTTCTTTCAGCTGGGCTCGGTGGCTCAGCCTGTAATCCCGTGCCTTTGGGAGGCTGAGGTGAGCGGATTGCCTGAGCCCGCGGGTTTGAGATCCACCTGGGCAACCCGGGGAGATCTCATCTCTACAATAAATCAAAAGTTAGCCAGGCATGGTAGCGCGTGTCTGTTGTTCCAGCTACTTGGAAGGCTGAGGTGGAAGGATCGCCGGCACCCAGCAGGTGAGGCTGCGGTGGCCGAGAGCAGCCACTGCACTCCAGTCTGGGTGACAGAGTGAGACTTCAACTCAAAAAAAAAAAAGTCTTTCTTTCAATATTTCCTTTATCATCAGGTAAAGAAAAAAGTCATTGGTGGCTAGATCAGGTGAGCAGGGATGGTTTTCCAATACAGTTATTTGTTTACTGGCTAAAAACTCCCTCACAGACAATGCTGTGTGAGCTGGTGCATTGCCCTGATGCAAGAGCGCTTCAGGACCATTTTGTACATACCTTTCTCATGCAAAGATTTTCATAACTGTTTTTCTATTGATGTTTATTTGGTTTGCTAAGCTTCTTAGTCAGCTGATAATTTTAACACACAATTTGACAAGGTTTTGCAATGTTTTAATCAGTTCTGCTTGTTACTGGCCATCCTGACCGCTCTTCGTCAGTGATGCTTTTTCTCCCCTCAGAAAAACATTTTATCCAATTCAATCCTAACCTTGGGAAGGTATTAAAAAATAAAATTAAAACTTTGAATTGTTTTTAAGTTTTCAGAAAGAAACCCAGCCAGAACTAATCTTATTTAAAAAACAAGACAAAATAAAACATTTTCTTCAGTGGGATGAGAACAGTAAAATTGTTCATCTTAACTAATGGAAAGCTACACTGGATAGTCTATAGCTTCTAAAACAACCTGGCTGGGTGTGGTGGTTCATTCCTATAATCCCAGCACCTTGAGAGGCCAAAGCAGGAGGATTGCTTGAGCCCAGGAGTTCAAGACCAGCCTAAACAACATAGTGAGATGTCATCTCTACAAAAATAAAAAATAAAAAAAGGAGCCGAATGTGGTGGCGTGTGCCTGTAGTCCCAGCTACTTGGGACTACAAGTAAGCTGGGAGGATTGCTTCAGCCCAGGAGCTGGAGGCTGCAGTGAGCCGTGATCATGCCACTGCACTCCAGCCTGGACAGCAGAGTGAGACCCCAATTTAATAAGACAAGACAAAACAAATCACCAAAGGTCTGTAGGCTAGTTAATTATATCATGCCAATGTCAAGTGCCTGGTTTTGAGAATGTACTGTAAGTACTCTATGGTAAGATGCTATATTAAGAGAAAATGGGGGATGGTGCATGGGACCACTCTGTGCTAGTTTTGCAATTTCTTTTTTTTTTTTTTTTTGAGTTGGAATCTCACTGTCACCCAGACTGGAGTGCAGTGGCCGCTCCCGGCCACCGCAACCTCGACCTGCTGGGCTCCGGTGATCCTTCCACCTCAGCCTTCCAAGTAGCTGGAACTACAGGTGCACGCTACCACGCCCGGCTAATTTTTTTTTTTTTATTTATTGTAGAGATGAGGTCTCGCCTGCCCAGGTGGGTCTCAAACCCGCAGGCTCAGGCAATCCACTCACCTCAGCCTCCCAAAGGCGCGGGATTACAGGCTGAGCCACCGAGCCCCGCTAGTTTTGCAGTTTCTTTCTTTTTTTTTTTTGGAGTTGGAATCTCACTGTCGCCCAGATTGGAGTGCAGTGGCCGCTCCCGGCCACCGCAACCTCGACCTGCTGGGTTCTGGCGATTCTTTCGCCTCAGCCTTCCAAGTAGCCGGAATTACAGGCATGCGCTACCACGCCCAGCTGATTTTTTGATTTATTGTAGAGAAGAGGTCTCGCTGCCCAGGTGGGTCTCAAACCCGCGGGCTCAGGCAATCCACTCTCCTCAGTCTCCCAAAGGTACGGGATTACAGGCTGTGCCACTGAGCCCGGCTTGCAATTTCTTATGTGTCTATAATTCTTTTTTTAAAAAAAGGTCTTAAAAAATCATCTAGAAAAAGATGCATAGTAATCTTTATTGTTGTTTCATTTACATCAATTGATATATTTTTATTGTTGTAAATAACTCATAACATTTACCATTTTAACAATTGTAAAGTGGTCAATTCGGTGACATTAAATACTTTCACAACGCTGTGCAATCACCATCACTATCTAGTCTCAGAACATATTCATCCCAAGCATACTATTGCAAATAATATGAAGGGGGACCCCAAAAAGCCCAGAATTATTTTTTGGATGGCAGAAGTCTGGGACAGTAGCGGTGAGCATGACACTGCACTCCAGCCTGGGTGAAAGAGTGAGACTGACTAAAAAAAAAAAATGTCTTTGGGTATCAGGAGAAAAGGAGGAATCAAGAATACATGGGTTCTGGCTACAATTACTTGGTGAATGATGGGATCATTTACTGAGACAGAGAAACCTCAGGAAGGGCTGGAATATAGGGAAGATTGTGTATTTGGTCTCAGGTTTGTTCAGGTGGGATGTCTCTGAGCCATCAAAGCAGAGTCTAGTAGGCTGTTGGATATGGGTCTAGACAACAGAAGAGAGACCTGAGGGGATGTCACACACTTGGAGAGGCAGCAGCACACTTCAAGTTCCCTGTCAACCCCTGTTTGTTTATTTCATAAATATTTATTAAGTGATTCCAAGTCTTAGGGATGCATTCCTTGTTCTCACGGATCTGACGTTCAACCTCGGCAGTTTGGTACAGAGAGATGATGGGTGGCAGCTTCTTCCAGGCAGACTGAAGGCAGAAGGTCACCATGTGTATATGATGATGAGATCTATGGCACGCCTGAGATGACACCCAGGACCCTATGGGAGCAAGTCTGTCCTTCCGCAGAACTAGCCATGTGTTATCTCTTTGGCCCGGCATGTTCTATCCACACTCAGTCAGGGTCCTCCTCAGTGGTGAGCAGATGGACAGGGTGGCAGGAGATGAGGGGTTGGAAGGAGCTGTGGGGGAGAAGGCTGGGGAATAGAGGCTTACAGGACAGAGAGAAGCTGGTGCTGTGTGGCCGTAGCTCCTCGTCCTTCCAGGTCGAGAAGCTGGTCTGCTGCCTTCACTGGGGGCCGCTGCCTGGACCAGACATAACACGCTGGCAGATTTTTGTCCTGTGAATCTTCTGGGTTTTTATCTTGTGGCTGATGGCCTCCTACCTGGATCTGACACCTGAATCTGCACCCCAAGAAAAACAGATGTACTTGGTCCCATGGCACTGCAACTGCCCTTGGTTTAAATTCAGGAAGTGCAACTGCCCTCTGGAAACCTCAACTGCTCCTCCTGCCGCCAGATGGTCGGAGAGTGGAGCTGGCTTAATGCATGCTACGAGAAGACCATGGGGTACCTGATGAGGACAAAAGAGTCTGTGACCTCTGACACTGTGTTCTGGTGGTTGGTCAGTGGTCAACACTGGGCCCAGTTCCATCTTCTTGTCCTTCCCAGGCCATCTCCCACTTTTCAGCCCAAACCCCTGCTTAGTGCCCTGGCTTAGTGCATCTCCTGTTTTCACAGTCCGGAGAAAGGTCTCACCCACCCAGGTCTGCTTTCCCTCCCCTGGGCTCAGCCCCAATCTCCTCCCTTCTGCTATTCCCAGGGCATGAACTCAGGGAGCCAGCTTGGGAAAGTCTGGAAGAAACTGTTTAAAGTGATGCCCAGGTACCTGGCGAGCCATTTTGACTTCTACTGTAGGACTTGTGTGGTGCTGGGGTGCTCACAGATCCTGCAGGGCTCCAGCCTCAGCAACATTGACCAACACCCCATGGTTTTCAGGGGAGTGCTGGGAAGGCAGGAGTGGGAGGGCCAGACCTGCCCCAGAGTTCTGTCAGTTTCTGCTTTCTTTTTCAGGAGGAATCAGGCCCCCTATCCAGGGTTTTGAGAGGATTGTAGAGAACCAAGCCACAGGATGCTTCATCTGTTCCAGGAATGCCAGTGGCCAGGATCCTAGGAGGCAGCTGGCCCTGGGGCTGCTGAAGCTTTCTGATCTGGGGTGGACTTCAGATGCTCTGAGTGATGAGGTGGTGGGGAGATGTCTCCAGACATTCTCAGTGTGGGGGTGAGAGGATGTCACTACAGGGTATGCTAGTAGCGGCTAGCTTACTGGGGGCACCCACAGGACTTTCCCAGTTTCAAGAGCTGCTGCCCAGGGACCTGGGCATCACTTTAAACATTACCAGGGACCTGGGCATCACTTTAAACTACCCCCCGCCTCCAATTCTTAGATTTCGGAAGATGGTCTGGTTCCCTAGGGGAGTGGAAGATAGCAACAACAAAGTGTAGGCACAGGGGAAGGATGTGGGTATGGGCTGCTGTTCAGAAGGGCCCAGGTCAGCCCTTTCCCAGGTATAACCAGGGCAGGATACCAAGGCCAGGAGCCATTTCAGAGCCTCATGGCTCTGTCCTGTGTCTTGTACACCTTGTCCAGGGAAGAAAGATTCTTGAATATCCCTCTCTTAAAACTTCTGTTCTCCCAGGCCTTCAGCATCAAGTCTAAAGTTTTCGGTCTGGCTTTCAAGACTCGGCGTAGTATGACCCCTTCCTTGCCTTCACTATCCCAGGCTCCCACATGGGGTTTCCCAGGTTCCCCAAGCACACCAGCTGCCTCATGCCTTCTCCTGAGTGGATCCTTCCACCTGGAATGTTTCTTTTATGTCCTGGGGGAATCGTCTCTTCCTCCAATATGACAAGGAGCATCTAGTTGATGCTCTGTTTTGGGGGGGGGCTTCTGGGTGACTCTATGAGAGTGTTGACCTCACCGTGTCTAGAGCTTGTGTTCCCTGGAGAAGGAGAATTCCATTCTCCTCCAACTCAGAGGCAACCTATCACATAGATGCTGAATGAGGGGAGGTGAGGATAAAGACAGGAGTCAGCCTGCTAACACACACTTCCCTCACTCATTCACCAGGACACCCTCTTCAGATTTGGATCAGAATAAGGAAAGTGGCTCCATTACTGGGAGGATGATAATTAAACCAATGGCTCCCAGGAGATACAGTCCATGCATGGTACAGAAGCAAAAATGAAAGTGATCTTTCAGCTATAGTGTGGACAAGCTCACTGTCCACACGAGATGCCCAGCCAAATATGCACAGATCCTAGTCCTTTGAGCCTGAATGCAGGGGAATCTTGGGGTTGTAGCAGCAGCAGCAGCATGACTGCAAAGATTTTGGGGGGTAAAGGACAAGAGGAAATTGTACGGAGACCAGTCTGGTACTAAATAAAGTCCTGGTCTGATTCTCTCACCTGCAAGCACAGTGTCATGGAAGGGAGGGCCAGACTTGACTTCCCAAATCTCAGGGATGATATTTATGCTAATTTCCCCACCAATCCCTGGTTCATGCAGTGGGTGTAAATTTAGATCCAGCTACACACCGAGTGCAAACCCAGACTTTGAGTTGTCAGCGAAGCGCTTTTCCCACTCAGAGAAAAGAGGCAAGCCCCCTTGTTTCACCCACACTGGAGGGTGAATTTTTTTCCAGCCCACTTTTCACTGAAGATTCAGCATTCTGAAGTTCCCAGTTTTTTTTAGGGGCCTCAGTTTCAATTCTCTGCCTCCCTAGGGTGCAAGGGTCTATGCCACATGGGCATTAAAACCCAATTCCTGGCTGGGCTTGGTGGCTCAGCCTGTAATCCTAGCACTGTGGGAGGCCAAGGTGAGTGGATTGCCTGAGCCCACAGGTTTGAGATCAGCCCAGGGAACTTGGCAAGACCTCATTTCTACAATAAAAAATTTTTTAAAATTAGCTGGGCGTGGTAGCACGCACCTGTAGTTCTAGCTACTTGGAAGGCTGAGGTGGAAGGATCGCCTGAGCCCAGCAGGTCGAGGCTGCGGTGGCTGTGAGCGTGCCACTGTACTCCAGCCTGGGCAACAAAGAGTGAGACTCCAACTCAAAAAAAAAATTAGTGGTTGTGGTGGTTCATGCCTGTTGTTTCAGCTACTTGGAAGACTGAGGCAGAAGGATGGCCTGAGCCCAGCAGATCAAGGTTGTGGTAGCTATGAGCGTGCCATTGCACTCCAGCCTGGGTGACAGAGTGAGACTCCGACTCAAAAAAAAGCAATAATTGTAATATTATGTTTTGTCTAGCCATTCTAAGCAATTATAGTAGGAGAATTTTCAATTCACCACTTTGCTAGAATTGGAGCCAAAATTAAGTCCTCATAGCTGTCCTATACTTTCATGAGCTGGCTGCCTCTGGGTGAGGCCAGTGTGTGATGAGGACAGATTCCATGGGCAGCAGCTCTTTGCCTTATTTCTTACACTGAGTGGCATACCACAATGGAGGATAAGGCATCTTTGGCCATGGATCGTGGTGCTACTCAAAGCATGATGGGCAGGTAGGGAAAGTTCAGATTCAGAATAAGTATATTTTTCAGTAAGAACAAATTGCTGCCACTAGGTGGGTGGGAAGTTCTCTCGGGGAGTGGTACCATATTAGTAACTTGGGAGAGGGGCAGTAATTGCTGCTGATAGATTTAGGATCCAGAATGGCAACAGAACCTGGAACCTGGGTAAGGAGAGGTCCATATTGTCATGCTCAGCATGGTCTCTAGTCTGGCCACTTTATTCCTGTGTTCATTAAGCAAGCACTGGGGAATAACTTGGGTATATTGCCTTAAAATTCTTTTTTTCAAGGCCAGGCACAGTGGCTCAAGCCTGTAATCCCAGCACTTTGGGAAGCCGAGGCGAGAGGATTGCCTGAGCCCAGGGGTTTGAGACCAGCCTGTGCAACATGGTGAGACCTCATCTCTCCAATAAATCAGAACACTAGCCAGGCATGATGACACATGCCTGCGGTTCCAGCTACTTGGAAGGCTTAGGCGGAAGGATCACTTGAGCCCAGCAGGTCGAGGCTGTGGTGGCCGTGAGCATGCCACTGCACTCCAGCCTAGGCAACAGAGTGAGACTCTGACTGAAAAAAAAACATATATTTTTTCAGTTTCAGATATTATCAATTGATTCCTGGCATGAAAGATGAACAGTTAAGCCTTTTACATCATTCTTCTCCTTAGTTATTCCCCTTTCCAGCCTCCAAAAATAGTTACATCACCATTTTGGTTATTATGACTTTTGGAAAATTGCTTAGTTTCTCATATATCTGTCACTAATTCTTTCCCAATCTTTGAGAGATTGACAAATCTCCTCTCAACATGCTCAAGTACATCAAATTAATCAGCTTTATTATTTCTGGAGGAAGTAAGGGTTGTTCAATGCATGGAACTGGAAAAAGTGATTATCCATATGGAAAAAGATGAAACTGGATCTCTACTACATATCGTATACAAGATTCAACCCTGGATGGGCTAAGGACTGAAATGTCAAAAAGAAAACTTGAAAACTCAAGTAGAAAATATAGGCAAATATCTTTTGCAGTTTGTGTTAGGAAAAGATTGCTTAAACCTAGGCTGGGTGTGATGGCTGACACCTGTAATCCCAGTACTTCAGGAGGCTTAGGCAAGAGCATTGCTTGAGCCCAGGAGTTGAGACCAGCCTGGGCAACAAAGCGAGATCTCGTCTCTGAACTCTTGGGCTCAAGCAATCCTCCTCCCTCAGCCTCTCGAGTAGCTGGGACTAAAGGTGTGTGCCACTATGTCTGTCTCAATGTACTTTAAAATTTTCTTTTGAGACTTCCTCTTTGATCTAAGGATTCTTTAGAAGTATGTGCTTAGAGATTTTCCTGTTTTCTTTCTGTTCTTGATTTCTATTTTGATTCTATCATGGTCAGAGATCATGCTCTGGCATGGCTGTATAGTATTCCATAATGTATATATGCCACATTTTCTTTATCCAATTCACTGTTAATGGGTACCTGGATTGGTTTCATATTTTTGCTATTGTAAATAGTGCCATGTATCTTTGCCTTAATGAGAGAGAGGAGAGAGGAAAGAGAGAGGAGAGAGAGAGAGAGAGAGAACGAAATGGACTTGATCGAGTTTATGAAAATATAAACAACAATATGGGCTTGCAAAGGAATAAAGGAATAATGCAGACAATGAATATAAAGATGGAGCAGTATTTTTTGGCACTTCCTACTCCACCATTCTCTGCTAATTGATTTTTGACCCAAGCCTATTCAATGGGAGAAAAGTCTTTTCAATAAATAGTGCTGAGATAACTGGATAACTACTCATGTATACAGAAGAATGAAGTTGAACCTCTACCTCACACTGTATGCAAAAACTAACTAAAAATGAAATCAACAACCTAAATATAAGACTTAAAGCTGGCCAGGTGTGGCGGCTCACACCTGTAATCTCAGTACTTTGGGAGGCCAAGGTGAGAAGATTGCTTAAGGCCAGGAGTTCAAGACCACCCTGGGCAACATAGACCCCATTTCTATTTTTTTTTTTTTTTTTGAGTTGGAGTCTCACTCTGTCACCCAGACTGGAGTGCAGTGGCCGCTCCCGGCCACCGCAGCCTCGACCTGCTGGGCTCCGGCCATCCTTCCGCCTCAGCCTTCCAAGTAGCTGTAACTACAGGCACGCGCTACCACACCCAGCTAATTTTTTATTTATTGTAGAGATGAGGTCTCGTCAAGTTGCCCAGGCAGGTCTCGAACCTGTGGGCTTAGGCAATTCACTCACCTCGGCCTCCCAAAGTGCTGGGATTACAACGAGCCCAGCCCCCATTTCTATTTTTAAAAATAAATTAAACATAAAAGTATTTCTTAAAAGAAACAGTTAAAGAGGGAAACATAGAGATAAATCGTCATGGCTTTGAATTTGGCAATAGAATGTTAGATTTGATACTAAAAAGCATGAGGAATAATAAATAAATAAATAAATTAGACTTCAACAAAATTTAAAACTTTTGTGCATCAAAGGGCATTTTCTTTCTTTCTTTCTTTTTATTTTTTTTTTTGAGTCACAGTCTCACTGTCACCCAGGCTGGAGTGCAGGCCACCACAGCCTTTACCTGCTGGGCTAAGGCAATCCTTCCACCTCAACTTTCCAAGTAGCTGGAACTACAGGCATGCGCCACCACGCCCAGCTAATTTTTTTTTTTTTT